AGTGGATAACCTGCAAAAGCAGGTCACTTGCTCAAAATCAATAATCCATTCCTCAAAAGCAAGTATTCATGTCAATGAAACTGTCAGTGTCATCAAAATGAGAAGTCTTGAAGCATCTTGATGAACAAGATAATCAAATGGCTTTGTCATGTTTTCATTATGACGGTGTACAGTATTCTCTCATTGTCTTCCAATACAAAAAAAAAGGTCAGAACTCGGTGACACTACCTGAAAATGCTCAAGACAGCACTATACACTTTTTGCACAGCCATGTACAATAAAATCTACAGTAGAGTTAGACATTCCTGTAGTTATGGAAGTAAGTGAGACACTGAATACGTATGTTTCACATTTTTACTGTGTAGGATGTTTGTAATTCTACAACATTGTGCAAAAGAAAAATACTCTACAGTCGCGTATTTAGAATAAACATGAGAAAAAAATGTGAACAATGTAACAGTACAAATTGTAAATGAACATACGTAAATCATTCTGGCACATTCAGACGTTCCTGTCTGTCTGGCCACATATTCTCATCTACATCACAACGGATACTGCCTCCATGGCTGCTAGCAGGGCCATTTGTGCATGTGAATGCCGGTCACAAACCTTCCACCTCCAGGCAGACAAAAACTCCTCTATCGGATTAAGGAATGGGGAGTAGGGAGGGAGATATTCAACAGGCATTCTGTCATGTGCTGCAAACCTCTGTCTGACCAGATGTGAGTAGTGAAAAGGGGCATTATCCCACACAACAACATACTTGTTGAGTTGACCTCCACCCCTCTCATTTTCAGGGACTATGGCATGAGAGAAATTGTTCAATTTCGGGGACAGGAAAAAATAATGGAAAAAAGGTATAACATTTGCTTGACAGCATTTGAAAACTAATTCACCAATTTTGTATGTAATGACTCAAGCAATGAAATAAAGACTATTCGTTTTATTGGGAACGACTATTTAGCATCCAAAAGTATAGTTCATTTTGACTGACATGACATAAGCAAATGATAATGTGGTCGATGGCAGAGAACTGTATGAAAGCAACTGATACGTGTCCAAGAGCATTTGCAATTTGTTCAGAGGAAGGAGAAATTGCTACTATGATGTGCACAAATGACTAAATGTTGTGGAGGTTGCACTAATGGTTTTGAGATTTTGATCTTTTCATTTTTCATTTTGATCTGAGAAAAGCACCAAAGCGACTGAGAAAAACTGTAAATGTTTCAGATTGCAATCAAAATTACAAAATTGACTTTTTAAATGATTATTTTATTTATTAGAAGGTAATAGGGGAAAATACCTATCCAAACTTACCTGTCCCTATGTGAAAAACAGATCACTTGAGGGTCACTACTAACACACTAAACCCCTAAATGAACATTTGCATGTAGAAAAATTTGCAGACTCATGTTAGAATTTAGGTCACTGGTACAAGCATGGCTGTAGCGCTCTGGTATTTCAGAGAGATGCTCAATGCGTAAATACTTCCCAGAGAAATCATTTGAGCCCAGGTCTCCTGAGGTCTGCATTAAAATCCATATCTGGTTATTTCAATCATTTCTAAGAGAAAATAACAGTTCAGAGGTAAGGTCAGAGATCAGCATCAGCTATGTCATGTTAACAGTATAAACATCTGATACTCCAGAAGCAACTGCTGTATGTAGTATCTTTGTCCTGCTGCGAGTCAAACATGATCAATAAATATGACACATCTTGATTGAAGCTGAACTTTATGTGACTTTTTGTCCTTGTAATACAGCAGCTCCAGCCACAGACTCTACAAATACTGAGTAAACCTTCATGATGCACACAAAAACAAAAAACAACTTTAGCTTTAAACTCTATGTGTGTGAGTATGAGAACCAACATGTGTTACAATTTTAGGATTCGAGTGTACTTTATCATCTTACTTTTAATCGAATCCATCAAAATGCCATTTGGCAGCATGTTTTCATTTTTAAATCAAGTCATTTAGTTGCCAACACACCTAGAAAGACTTGCGATTGACAGATTTACCCAGTGAGATGAGGGGATGTGTTTCTGCTCTTGTCACTGTGACGCGGAGGGTCACACCACACTGTGACAGTTCACACACACATACAAAAGAGGTGGAGACTGAAAGCACAATGTGATATACTGGTTTATTAAAGGAGCTTGATATGGGGATGCCACTCAGCTTGGGTTCTAAATTGTCATTACCTCATGGACCATGAGAGATAGCTACAAAACAGTAACAAGAAAACACGACAGCTTCAAAAGCAAACTAATCCACGTTGTAATCCATTCCAATCATAATTATGCATGTTTATTCTATGCTAGTATTTTGATGTGTATGGCATTCTCAAAATGACTGGAATATCTGTTAACAGAGATGTGACAACATGTTGCGAGATACCGATCTGTTGCAGGAAGTAAGTCAGTTAACCATGGATTTGGTTTCCTGTCTGATAAGCGTGCTGTGGACAATGAGGCTCCAAACCACTCAGATTCACTTAGGAAAGGAGAGTAAGGTGTTTCCTCTATATATTGTAACGAGGATGCAATAAATCAACAACTCACCGAACTGTTGACAGGTAAACTATTTTTCATAAAGAGATACCTCATGCTGTTAAGGACCTTTGCTGTTTGAAAGGCACAGAGATTTGATGTGTGTAGCATAGAGGCACCACAGTGCCGCTGATGTCAGCTTAAACAAGCTTGTCAGACTGTAACATGACATAAAAGCAAACAGCACAAGGTGGCTTGTCAAATCACTATTAGCTAATGAACCTGCTAACTACTTCTTTTTATTTCCTGGCAGACATTTGAGTGAAATGTAAATAAAAGTACCTTTTGAGCTCTATAAAACAGTGAAAGCACAACATGTACATTTGGATCAAACATTTACTTTACTTAATTTCTTTGGCAGTGATTTTGCAAGAGTGTGAAAAATGAGCTGCTATGTCTTTTCTCTCTCCCCCGCCCTTCACTCTTTATCGCTGTGTTAGCATGGTTTATGTCTTCTTTTCTCCCTTCCCATCTCCAAACCCAGACCATCCAGGCAGATGGCAGTCTGCCGTGTCGTGAGTCTGCTATCAGTTTCTCCCTATTAGAAGAAATTTGCTCCTTTTTTCCATTTTTTCTCAAACGTTTTGCTGTTACTTTGCAACAGATCCCACAGAACAATTCTCGCACAACAATTCAGTCCACATAACGTTGACAAGCTGACTATATATTTTTGAGACAGGGGGGTTAGGAGTGCAACTCAAAAGGCTGTTCTCATGAGCGCACTGCCATACATCTATCTATCCATTTTCTTCTGCTTATCCAAGGCCGGGTCATGGGGGCAGCAGTCTAAGCAGAGAAGCCCAGCCCTCCCTATCCCTGGCCACCTCCTCCAGCTTTTGCGGGGAACACCAAGGTTTTCTCAGGCCAGCCGAGTAATGTAATCTGTCCAGCATGTCCTGGGTGTGCCGCTGGGACCTCCTTCCGTTGGGACATGCCCAGAACGCCTCACCTAGGAGGCGCCCAGGAGGCATCCTTATCAGATGCTATAACCAC